CTGGTGAAATGTTTTCTTTGGCGATGGAAGCAAAGAGACGGGGAATGGGAGTAGTTGGTTCCACCAAAAACATACTAGATTTTATCAAACAGAAACTGCAAGAGGCTCTGAACAGAAATGTTGATGACCATCTTCAATTTGTATTGGGGACTGAATCTGGTATGGTGACTTCAATTGTGGCAGCAGTGCGCCAATTATTAGGTTCTGCCAACTCATCTTCTGACAGAGGAAAAGTTAGTGTTGAGATTGTCTTTCCTGTCTCATCAGAGTCGGTGACAAGAACAGCTCCAAGTTCATCTGTGGGTCTAAATTTGGGTGATTCAAGGGAATTAATGGGAGTTTCAGTTATACCCGGTGTTGCAAGTGGAGAGGGATGCTCCCTCCATGGTGGCTGTGCCTCCTGTCCATATATGAAGGTTGGCATACTCCTCATCTTTCTCTTATATCAATTGCTTATGTCATAGCCTGTTGATTAAATGCCTGTATGGTTAAGACACACTGTGTGTTTAGGTTGCAACATTGGGCTTACCTTTTTACCTGTGCCTCCACACATTTCATGCCCTTTACTCAGCAGTCTTAAGAGCTTTATAGTTGGAATTTAATTGACATGAGGTGGCTGTAGTGACAACCATAGCTGGCTTCTGCCTTCGTAATTTTTGGCTATTAGCTATTGTCGCCATTTTATGTGCATAGCGCTAGTGAGTATTCAGCCAAAATATGCACAGCATAGATGCAATTGATATTTTTGCATCGACTTTTGGGATGTTAAAATCTTATTGGATTGATACACCCTATGAGAATGGATGGTATAATCTTCATTTCTTGAGATAATGTTGAGGCAACCAAGAGCTAGCTATTGGCTGTGTATACTATTTTCCGTTGCATTTTTTCCCCATGCAACTGGCTTTAAAGCATCCTACTGCCAGGTGTGGGGTTCTATGAGAAGCTTTGAATATTGATTAAGATCTGATTTCTGTTACCCCTTTTTTGGTTCCAAAGGTTGGCTATTCTGGACCTGCCCAAATTTTGTTGTGTTGTTAATTGCTGCAGCTAAAGTTTTCTGTTTTGGTCTACATATGAGCAAAATGGAGGCACAGTTCTAGATGTCAATGTGTCTGATCATTAACATAATACATCCTTTGCAGTTCATTTATTATAAAATTTGGGTTTCTTACCTGTTATTATTTGTTGATCTGACAGATGAATTCACTTGACTCGCTACTAAAAGTTTGCCAGAATCTGCCCAACAATAAAAGTAAACTGTCAGCCTATGAGGCAGGAAGATTCAGTATGAAAACTCCTAATGGAAAACTGATCGCAGATGTTGGTTGTGAACCAATTCTCCACATGAGACACTTCCAGGTATATTTCCTTAACAGTCTCGACTACTCTTACAGAGCTATATATGTTGTCTGTTATTAACTGGCTCTGGTTGACTGCTACCTGCAGGCAACAAAAAGACTTCCAGAGAAACTAATTCATCAAATCCTTCATCATTCCGACAAAAGTACGAGTTACTGAAAGCACGGGTGCTTGTAAAGCAACCAATGGCTATCCTGTATTGAATGCGAATTTCAGACTGTTCTTTCTTGGGATGTGAAGGCCTTCAACGTAAGCTATCCTCCAAAGAATTTTTACCGTAGAGAATGTCTCTGATAGAGACTGGTTGTGTTGTATACAAATGCTTCTTTTTCTTTTAATTTATTTCCCTTTTTAGTTTTGATTTTCAATTAATTAGGTCTGACTGAAGTTAGATCTGTAGCATATAGATCAGATCAGATATAGTTGTTCGCTTGCATTTCCTTGTTTCCTTCAGAACTAACTATGTGATAATGATAAGAGTAGCTTTTTGACAAAGCTGTCAAAGATGGCTTATTTGGAACTCAAAACAGGCTTGAAAGAAAAAGAACAGATTCATTAGCAAAAAGAACAGATTTATGATTGATTAGCCAAAAGAACAGAAGTTTGAAAGAAAGAAGGATCAGGCAGCTATTATCTTGTTTTTGTGAAATCAGCAATAATAATTTGGTTTTGCTTTCTCTGCTTGTGTGAAGTTAAGTTCAAGGAGTAAAAGACCAGAGAGGAAAGAAGCGACAAAACTCCTATCTTCAACTCATGGGATATACATGAATCGGAAGCAGAAATGACCATTCTTGAGCAGTTAACACCAAGATTGACCAACAAGAAAACGTAAGACTCAGATCAGTGCATGTATATCATTTTTAAAGTCATGCGTGGGATTCATAAAAATTTGTTTCATGATAACTTTTTGGTAAAAGTGAGTTATATCTTGTGGAATTGGACAAAATCGAAACAACAAAAGGTTGATCTGGCAACCGTTTGTGCCCCAAATTCACATGAATCATATGGTTATCCAAAAATATATATATATATATATATATCTTCAGTGTTGATTCTCAATGTTTTGCACATGTGCAATTTTAATTCATAAATATTCATCAGAAACAAATTAGGTCATTAATATTTGGCATTCAAAAACAAAATTTGGTCGCTAAAGTTTTAACAAAAACAAATCAAGTTCTGGATTGATTTTCCTCTTTAAAGCAAATTTAAGATTGTCGAGGATTTTTTTAATTATTGAAACAATTAGTCACGTGTTTATTAAATTGAATTTTTTAAAGAAGAAACAAAATAGATGCTAACGTTGAATAATAAAAATAATTTGCATGACGGCACAAAAATTTAGTGTTACAAATTCTTACTAGGTGCGGTGGAGATAGGGTGGGTGCTCCAACCTCTTAATTTTTTATTTTTATTTTTTTTGTCAACACAGTGTGTTTGGGTCAAGACCCGAAGGCGGTCCGACTAATCCCTTGTGCCTGGAGTACAGCGCCACTCCAATCGCACCCATGTGTTAAGTGAAGTTCGACCCCACGACCTGCGAGTGCCGGAAGCAGCCACAGACCGCGTGATCTAGCCCCTGGGCCTCCAACCTGTTAATTAAAGGTAGACTTTTTCGGCCCAGCATTATGTGGGGACTTCCACAACACGCGGAACTTGTGCAATAGACAATGGCATCTAAGCAACAGTTGGCCACAAGAACCCCTTCTTGGGCCTAGGTATACATTTTCGTTCAGAATTTTTTGAAACATTTCCGGAGGTAACTTTTAGTTCCATTAGAATTCTCAGTAACTTAATTGAATCCATCTCGGTCTCTTTTCTCCCTCCCCTAATATAGGACCAGTTGAGGTAACTTAGTTCCTTTAGATTTCTCAATAACCTAGGTGAATCCATTTCCATCCCGTTCCTCCCTCCCCCAATATAGGACCAGTTGTAAAAATGTTGCACTGAAAAAAAAAAAAAAAACAATAGTATCTGTAAACTAAGACGAGGCAATTAGGAAACATTGGAATTTGGAAAGTACTAGTAATTATTTTAGTGCTCTAGTGGCTTTTGTAAGTCACTGAGAATTATTACTATCTCTCGCTTATGATTTAGAGAACCGTATATAAACATAAGTATAAAATTGGGAGTGGATATGACAAAGTTCATGTTTGATAATCCAGTTCAGTATTTAAATCTAATGGATTTAGATCTTAACGGGTTTAAATATGTTTGATAACAAAAAATTGAACATCTTAATAAATTAAGTGGGGCCTAAATTGTTAGACAAAACTTATTCCAACAAATAAGTAATAAGAGTTCATTTTTCACTTAATGTAAAATACGTTCAAATGATAAGATTTCAGTACTTAACAATTCAACAATTTAATATATGCAAATTTCAGATTTCAGATTTTAGACTTCATTTTTATTAAATACACTGATTTAAGAATATCGAAAGATAATGGGTAGATGATTTAATCACATCCAAATATAATTAGTTGTTGAAAATTGTCCAAACTTTTTCAAAATATTTTGTGATTTTCATTATAGGTATTAGTGGGTTAAAAGTACAATTCACACCCAATGGTCTTCATTAGAGGATGTAAAAGTTAAAACCATGACGATAACCAAATATGATAATATTGGAACTAATTTTAAATTGGTCAAACCAATGGGACATTCAAATAGTAATTGATCATAAAAAAATAAACATTAATTGAAATGCAGAATTTCAAACTTGAAGAATAAGTTATAAATTAATGCAAAGGTATGGAAAGCATGCCTGAATTTTTTGCTAGTGATAATGCTAAAGTACCTATTTTAGTTTCACAGCAAATTATTTATAAAACGACAAATTTATACCTTCCAAAACGAACTTAATCTTTGAATAGTGAAGGGAATAGTTGTTATTTGAAAAAAAAAATTGCTATGGAAGTAAAATTTGTGATGTGCAATACCATTTGTCCTTCTTAAATGGTAGAATTTTTTTAATTTAAAAACAGAGGAGGGATAATATTCAAAAAGCAGTAAGAAAGAAGGAAGAATTAGAATCCAAGACCGTGAAATTTTAACTTTAACTATTAGACTAAGGCCTTCTTGACTTACTAAATTCTTCTACCATCTATCTATAGAGCAGCCATTAAAATATATTACAGATGTCATATTTTTTAAAATGTAAAATTAATTAGAGATAGTAAGTAAATACAAGGAAGGGTAGATAAGATTAAATAAGAAAAATATATAAATATAAATAAGAATAATAATTATTAGTCTGTATATATACATATAATAGGTTAAATGAATATTAAATGTATTGATGAACAGGATATCCGTTAGAAAACTAAACCAAATATGAAGTAAAAATTTTTTTTTTTATCGATAATGACAAATATTTGTACAATCTGATATATTCTATTATAGAGGGAGGAGAAGTGTAAAGCGACTTGGTAAGGGGTACAGGTATATATACCGGACTGACCAAAGAAGTGCTCTGAGCAAAGACAGAATATGTCATGGATTCAAAATCCTGTCTCAAAAGTCAGGCAAGAGCCACGTGGCCAGTTTTTGTTGGGCAGTCAGAAAAGAAAAGAATCCAAAACCCGCAATCAACTGCCACTCACTACACGTGGCAAGTCCAGAATTAAAAAGAACTAAAAAAACCACCAACAAACAACTCCTTCCTCAAAAAGGACCAGAAGTCATTACTACGTCGTCGTTTATCGCCCTCCGTCGCTCCCTCTTATATTTGTAGTACAATCCTTCATAACAATAGAACCAGACCTCCCAACCATCATCAGAAAAGAAAACACACACCAAAGCCTTCATCAGATTCGCTAAAAGCGGTACGTATATGAATTGCATATTTCTTATTTAATCTCTCTCTCTCTCTAGAAAAGGATTTTAATTAGGCTTTTTTTTTGGGTACTGATTGTTGTGTGTATTAATCTATGATCATGTATCCTTTTTCATGAGATTTATGATTCACATTAGTCTGGTAATTCCTTAACCCACTGCAGAATGTTTGTTTTTAAATTTATTCAACAGCCCACATGTGAAAACAAACCAAAGAGGGAATTTTTTTGCTCAATTTTAAATGTATTGTTCTGAAGAGAGAATGCAGTTGAATAATGTGTGTTCTATCAACGTTTTGTTGCGTAATTTCTGGCTAATTCTCTGTTTGAGGTATCTTTGGTTATTATTTCTTTATTTTTCTGGGAAGTTCTTTTATCCCTTTTCTTTTTTGATCAATTTTATCAACTAATATATGGGAAGTTGGAAAAAAAATTCAAAACTTTTAGCAGAATTTTAGACTTGACTTGTTTATCAATTTCAGATAAGCTGCCTATAGGTTGTTTTAAGCTATTGATAAGAAGCCCTTTTACGAATTTGAATCACAGTGTGAGTTGCTTTAGTACTTAGACACTGGCCCTTATTTTCTCAAGAACACTAGGTGGAGGCAGGTGTACATCTGAGAAGAGATGAGGTAGTGAGAAGCTTTGATGGAGGATGGTATTGTAACCTCAACTGGAGTTTGATCCTTCCTATCGGACCTATTGGGGCCTACTTGCAATGTGTAAAAAAGTCTCTTGTTACTTTAATTTTGTTGTGGAACATACATTAACTGTTTTTTTTTTTGGGTCTACATGTTACTTCTTAGTTTTACAGAATTTTCCCTGAATAACTTCCTAGTTTATTTTATATCTTTTTTTTTGTTGGTAGACTGGACAAATTCCTAGTGATGTAGGAGATGTAAAATGAAATTTCCGACATAGAAAAAACTATTTTGAAACTTTTTTTAAGCCATTTGGTGAACCTTCACTGGAGGCGGAGAGAGAGAGAGAGAGAGAGTTATTTGATTTCCAATTGGAAGGCACACTTCAGGAACTTTATCAAGATGTTATATTGTAAAAATGATTTTTTACCCAGAGTCCTTTGTGTTTTCGCATGCTCATGACATTTTCGTATTTTACCTTAGTTGCAGATAGTTCCACATCATTTCAGAGACTCATAGCTGTTTTAACACAATTTTTAGCTCTTGTGATTTAGTTTGCTGACTTGAAGTCCCAATTCAAGCTTCTAGCCATCCTACCTACTGTCCACTCTCACACACTCTGATCTGCTAATAGAAGTTATGGGAGATTTTGTAGTTTATTCCCCTGAAGTTTGAGGGCATTAATGCAAGTCAAATTTGGTGTCCAAATTGTCATCCTGCCTCTTCCCCTGCATACTACTAGTTTAAGTTATATGTAGGCCAAATATGACTGGATAAGTACGGCTTTGTGCTTTTAGATGTAGCTTGCTTCCTTGGTTATTCTCCATGAACTCATTTATTTCTTAAATTTTTGTGGAAGTACATTTAGCACATGTAAATATGTATTGAAAGTGGTTAATCATCTCTTGAGATTAGCTAATTGACTGCCTGATAGTGTTATATTTTTCCTTGAGCATGAATTGGCACATAGTGTGTGGCTATATCTTTTATCTACTTGAGATCCCTGCTGACTTCTGGTGGAACAAGAATTCTGTTTGAGTTCTGATTTTGTGTGAAGTACTCAATTGTGATGATACAAATATCTTAGTGCTTTTGGAAGATTCAGGCTACAGAATGCATGTGCTATTATTTCTCTGTTGCATGGTAGCTCATTGCACACTCAGACATTGTTGCTGTTTGTTGAAGAATTTCCTGAAGTCTCTGTCATGCAATGCAAAGATCTATAACCAATGATTTACAACTTATTGTCTTATAATGCCAGAGATGGAGAAAAGAACAGCAAAAGTGGAAGATTTATGCATGATTATGTTTGTAACCTTGTCTTGGTATTTAATATGGTGGTTTGTTTTACCTCAGGTTGAAGGAATATGATTTTCCTTATTTTATGGTTTTCCTGTAATTCTGATTGGAAGCGGTGCATGTGATAGTGATCCTAAGTTTCTTTACTGGAATATTATGTGGCTTCTTGTTGCTTCAATTTTCCTGTTATCTCCTTTATGGAGCACCTTTTCATTTTTTGTTACCTGCATCTTTCCTTTTGCAATTATGAAATGCTTCTTACATCTTGTTACTGCACATCCTCAGGACTGGGGCTATGGGTTCTGCAAATGGCCTTGTGAATGTCCAAAGTAATCAACCTCTTTTTTCATTTGGGGTCATAACAGATGTCCAGTATGCTGACATTCCCGATGGGCGTTCATTCCTTGGGGTTCCACGCTATTACCGACACAGCCTTCTTGTATTGCAAAGGGCTGTAAAGAAATGGAACCACCGAAGGCCTAACTTCATAATGAATTTTGGGGACATTATTGATGGATTTTGTCCCAAAGAGCAATCTCTTGATGCTGTGAAGAAACTGGTAATGGAATTTGATAATTGCAATGGTCCCGTTTATCACATGATTGGCAATCACTGCCTCTACAATCTCCCTCGAGAGAAATTGCTTCCCCTTTTGAGAATCCATAGCCACAATGATCATGCCTACTATGATTTTTCTCCAATTCCTGAATATAGATTTGTAATCCTTGATGGCTATGATGTCAGTGCCATTGGCTGGCCCAAGGATCATCCTAAAACTTTGAAAGCCTTAAAATTTCTAAATGAGAAGAATCCCAATTCAGACAAGAATAGTCCAAATGGGCTGGTTGATCTGGAGAGAAGGTTCCTTATGTTCAATGGAGCTGTCGGGAAAGATCAGTTAGAATGGTTGGATAATGTGCTATCAGATGCAACAAGGCTGAATCAGAAAGTAGTGGTGTGCTGCCATCTGCCTCTGGATCCTAATGCATCATCTCGTGAAGCTCTATTATGGAATTATGATGAAGTGATGGAAGTACTACACCGGTACAGTTGTGTCAAGGTCTGTCTAGCAGGACATGATCACAAGGGTGGGCATTCAGTTGACTCTCATGGTATTCATCATCGGGTTTTTGAAGCGGCATTGGAGTGCCCTCCAGGTACAGATGCTTTCGGGTGTGTAGATGTTTTTGATGATAGGTTATCACTTTCTGGCACTGATAGAATGAAGAGCACAGAAATGATTTTCTGTCGTTGATTTTTGAAAGAATGGCAGATTATAGAAGTTATGACCAATTCTGAGTTGCAGTTACTGATACGGAATGTAGTTAGTATTCACGGAAAAACCGTTTTTATCTCAGGAAAGTGTAAGATGGTTACGCTGATCTATATTAATCTGGATTTCCTTCCAAGAAGTCCACCATTGATACTATACTATGATGATCCTTTTTCTTGTTCGTGGAGCCTTTGATTGAACCAAAAATCAATAAATCTCAAACATTGTTGTTAGTTCAATTCAATTGTTCATCAACCCATGATGTAAGAAGAATAAAGGATCAATAAATCTCTTTGGTTTATTTGCAACAGATATATATTGGTACACTCTTGACTTAGCTTAAGGCCTACAACATAAACTACTTGCTGCTTTTCATCAATTATTTACTATAGCTAGTTTGGGAGTTGAGGATAGAAAAGAAAAGAATGGATAAGAAAAACAGAGGAGATTTTAATGTTGGTTGGGAGTTTATGAAAGAAGGAAAATGATTTTGAACATCTAGGTCAATAAAATTTCATTCAATAGCTTTTCAAGAATAAAATGAACAATTTAAAAAATTTTTTGTTGGCATTCTACAACTTTCATTCGTTTTCTGCCCCATTTTGGACGGAAAATTTTTTAACTGTAGCTGGCCTCTGCTTCCCCCCAAATCAATCAGTTTCTTTTCTTTTTTATTTCACTAAAATTTCTAAACATTGAAAACACCTAACTTTCTCTTCCCTTCTTTTCTTTTCTACTCGAATCTCATCTCCCAAACTAGATAGAGTCTATTTGCATCTTTCATAGTTTTGTCTATTCGCATCTTTCATAGTTTTGTCTATTCGCAACAATCATACTTTGGGATATTCACGAATTAGCTTAAGCTATGTCGGTCTGCTTAGAATAGTTATGACTTATGAGTGAGTACAGTTGCTTACTGTAGCTTTTACACCAACGTGCCATGCGGTTAGGAGTGGGCAAAAATATTCGTGGACTCAAAAAATCCACAATATCTGATCCAATTTGTTTTGAAGAATAGGGTATTCGATTCAAATTATTTAATTAGGTCAAAAGAGGATTGGATACTCACTTACATGCGAGGCGGATGAGGGTTACAGGATTAAAAATTCGCGAATACCCGACCTACCCTACATATATATTTTTTTATTTTTATACACATTATAAAATAATATTTTTTGAATTAACTAAATAATTTCATCAAACAAATTGCACTACAAATATATGAAATTGTAGTTTGCATTGCACTACAAATATAAGAAACTATAGTTTGTTTATAAGATTTATTTATAGACGTCATGATCTTATGTTTTTAAGGAAAGAGTTTAATTGATGTAGAATATATATTAAAAAAAGGGAACTACTTATTTTAAATTTTCATTGATTTTGAATTATTTAAAATTTTTCCTTTTTAGTGTATTCTCTTTGTATATTTGTTTCTTAGCAAGAAACTTTTTTTTCTAGAAAAAAAAATCTATATTGGGTTTTAGATGAATATGTAAAATATAAAATTAAATTAATATCAATCATTTAAAAAATTAAATAATGAGTGGGGCAGGACGGATACTCATTGATCTAATCTTTTTTTGGCAAGTATCTAACAACTAAGTAATCACTCATATGCAAGACGAATAAGGACCGAAAAATAATTTATCGGTCTCAGTCAACTAAATGGCGTACAAGACGGATATCCCACCCGTGCTAAACCCTACATGTGGTGGCCAGGGGATTTGCTGTCAACAATCATCACAAAGTCGGCAATTCTTTGTTTTTGGATGCTTTAAATCGTTAAAAAGACAGAGCCTGACCTCCATACGTCTTGCAGTTGACTTACCTCTTCCCATTTCGTTGGAGACAAGTTAGAGTTGTCATACAGGAAAAAAAATAAGGTAACTGTAGGATGATGAGATATGGTAGTCGGCAAAGTTGTGTTACTTGTATAATTTTGGAGCACTGGCATCATGAAGATGGATAAGCACTTTGGAAGGTTGATATTCATCTACTTCTGTCCTGTCAGAGGATTGTGACTAGATACTCTGCTTACTTTGGATTAAGGGATTGGACGATGGAATTGAAATCCGTCGCTCTAATTGTATGGATTGTTTAAGAGGCGTTTAAATTGATAATTCATCAATTATTAAAATACATTTTAATTACTAGAATAGTCGATGATTTGCAAATTTAAATGTCTTCCAAGTAATTGTAACAATTGTAACCTGTAATTATTCAACAATAATGAATAGCTTTAAGCAAATAACCATAAGTTCTTGTGCTCAGGAAGGGGGATGGGCTTCCGTCCCACATTGAAAGATTGTGGGTTCTTTAATCTGAATTTAAGATTTTCAACCGCACCTTCTGTCAACAATTGACTGGATGGATGATGTTGGTTTTTTCATTTGAGTTAGATGGCTACTGTAGGATTTTGGATACTGCTGCCTCCTTCCAATAGATTTCCTCATCCAACCCAACCCAGTAAAGCCCTCTACCCTCGCCTGTGGCTTCCAATATTTAAACATTCTTTCACATTTCACTTTCTTCTGAAAATAAAAATTTCTTCTATATCCCCTTTTCAATGGGAATGCCGCTCTTTCCTTTTCTTGTTTTCTTCCTCCAATTCGTTAGTGGTGGTTGGTAATGATGGAGGTTCTTAGTTGACTTTTAATGTCCACGTGCATAAAAGAACATAGTATTAGTTGTGGAAAATAAAGAGGCAATCTAGCCGTCTGTTTCAAGTCATTAGCCTCAAATTTGTCACGTTAGGCAGACTATGGGTTTGTTTGGATAGAGAATTATTAGCCAAAATTTATTTGCTTACATCGGCTTTGTTTGGATTGGGCTTTATTTCTCAAAATTTATTTGCTTACATCATCATTACAATTTTCAATACACCTTTTTACCTTCCCAATTACCTTTTTATCTCACATACATTACATCACAAAAAGTGCTACAGTAAAAATATCTCTAATAATTCACAATCCAAACAGACCCATCATCATTACAATTTTCAACGCACCTTTTTATCTTCTCAATTATCTTTTTATCTCACATACATCACATCACAAAAAGTGCTACAGTAAAAATATCTCAAATAATTTACAATCCAAACAGAGCTTATCTTTTTTGAATAAATTCGTATAGAAATTATTGGAGAGAGGAGTTTATTTGAAGTAATTATTATAATATTTTTTTATGATGTGATATATGTGAGATGAAAAGATGATTGAAAAGATAAAAAATTATATTAAAATTTATGTTACAAATTATTTTTTCTCAAAGCATTACAATCCAAACACATTTTGTCTTATTCTCTTTTTCTTTATTTTTACATAGTCCCTCTCATTTTTTGAATTGAATCAGAAGGACATTATGGCTGCAGTGGGGTGAGAGGGGAAGATTATGGAGGCTTTTAAGGGGATGGGGTTCGCGTTTCAAATGTTCTGTTCTGAAATTACCTTTTGTTCTGTTTGTCTCGTGTTTATATGGTTGTTATGTATATTAATGCATTGATAACTCAAGGATAACTCAAATGTGGGGCGTAGTTGCCCAGCAACCAAAATTTGAGAAATTTTAAAATCCTTCTTATAATTTTAGTTGTCAATTAACGTTGTAGTACTTAGGCCTCCACCTATATATAATTATCAATATTTTTTTTATTATTTTGTTTAATTTCTTTTGATGAAATGTCCTTTACCAAACGAACAATTAGTTTTCTTATAAAAGTATACCGTTAGTATCTACATGACCATACTATTAATACTATTTTTGAATAACAATTACAAAAACATTAATTTTTCTTTTAACCAAATTTCTTATAACAGACCAACTTTTAGTTTATTTGATTACTATAACTTCAAAATAGCAACTGAGGTAACACTGTACATGTTACATATGAAATCAAAGATAAAGAAAAGAAAAGAAAAGAAAATTATGTTCTAACTATCATACAAATTGAAAAAGTTTCAACCACAATTTTGAATGCATCACATTGATTGCAAATAAAATGGTATAAAGTCTAATTTTCACATTTTTTTTATACTTTGCATTTATTTTTTAAAATGTTCTTATTTCTAATTATAGGCTAGTGAACTTTCATTTTACATTTAGTATACTTTTTTTGCTGTAAAATTCTTTTGCTTTTATATCATTGATGATTCGCCCCCTCCCTCTCCCCCAACCCCAACCCCCCCACACCCACGCACGCCACAAGACCAAAATCCTGGGTCCATCACATTGCAGAGAAAGAAATTCTGCGCATCTGGAGAGAAGAAGGGAGAGACATCATGTATGGCATGATAAAGGGTGTAAAACAAAGAGAACCAAATAAAACACCAAAATTATTCACCAAATCTTCCCTATTAGCCAAATCTTGCCTGTTTCACTTTCAATACATGACGAACTTCGTTGATCCCCATATAGCAATTATACTGTATTGACATATATGACATATGCCTGTCAAGCATTTCCTTTTGCCGATCCAAGTCCCACTCACTTTGAAATTTGATGTTCCCCACTCACCCAAGATCCTTAACTATTACACAGGCATCAAGCAGTTCAAAAAGTAGTTGATTCTGCTAGACGCCAAATGTTTCAAAACATGAACATCAAACTACAATAATTAGCCCATGATCTGAAAACCACAAAAGTTTTTTTAACTCACTTTTGTCGGGATGCTTTGCCTTTTCTCTTCTCAATGAAAAAGAATCCAAAGAGGGACAAGACAGAGAAAGAAGAGAAACAGATGGCAGCAATATCTAGCGACGCATGGCGCCCGGAAATTGCCTCAACCTGAAACAAGTTTGTAGTCTTGTGTGCATCTGTGGTTTGGCCAAAAGCGACCTCTTCCTCTGCAGAGTTGAATGCGTAGGCTCTGAGGAAATATGTAGCGGTGGGTGTATCCCTCTCTATTGTCCAAGTGATGGTGCTGTTAGAGGCACTGTATGGCTTGGCAACAATCTTGAATTGGCAAGTCTTGTCCTTAGCCAAATCATCCACAGTTTTCCTCCATGCACGATCTACCTGGCTGATTGGTGCATAGCACAGCTTTACCTTAATAGTCTTGTAAGTTGAGTCTGTCCCAGGTGCAAGGGTGTTGTTGTATGACCAAGTCACTGTGATTTTGTCTTCCCCAGCTTTTAGAACTGCCAAGTTTTTAACAAAACAATCAACAATCTTCAGCCTTTCACAGAAAAGGGAGAAAAAAAATGGATCTTGAAGCTAAAGAATGAAACTATGGAAAAG